CCCCAAAACCCCAAAACCCCAAAACCCCAAAACCCCAAAATATTATTTAAGGTTGTAATATTACTATATTTTTAATATGAGGTATCTCAAAAAACGCAAAATTGTTAACATAAAATCTAAAATAAAACCTAAACTAGAGCCAGAGGTCTTGCCTCTTATGTCTTATAATGAAGGTAACTATCTTTAGGTATCAATATAGAAACTGGAGTAAAAAGCTTATTAACCGTCTCTCACAATTTAAGAGGATTTGGATCCCAAAAAGCAACCCAAATAGCAGAATCCTTAAGGCTTTCAGCTTCATACTATGGCTTTTATTCTCTATCAGCAAATCAACTTGGCATAATGCACAGAATATTTACTGTCCACAAACATCTGAAGAAAGGGCTTTGGTTGTACCCAATCTCAGGTAAGATTTGTTTTATGAAATTAGACCAAAGCGATATTGTTTCAAAGGAAATTTTTGAGAAATTAGATCCTTTGAACATTGAAATGGCAATCGAAAACTATGATATCTATATAAACCCAAAAATAGTAGCGGTCACAGAGACAGAAGAGTATGGATGGGAAAGATGAGGAAGTCTTGATGGTTTAAAAGCTAGAATAAAAAGACCTATTGGCATTCAACTTGTTTATCAAGATGAAACAGGATCATTTAAAGAAAAAGGTAATTTTCTACTTAATCATAGAATTCTTTGACTTTGAAGCAAGAGTGGTCAATCATGAAATCGACCATTGAGATGGAAAGAATATCATTCACTGGTCTTTGTCTGAGGGAAATATTGAAATTGATCAACATTTAAAAGAGCAATATAAATCCTTAGGAGAAGAAATTCACAAATATCAAGAGAAAATCCAGCAGCTAAAGAAAGATGATCCTGCTGTGTTTATGAAGGACGAGAGATTTAAATCTCAATATACAAAAGATGGAATAAAGTGGAATGTAGTAAAGAATGCTTATGGAAATCCTATTCCTTATAAAGAGGAGACATTAAAATTCAACATGGATTTTAATCTTGAAATGTTTAATGCAGCTCAAAAGGATAAGCGCAGGATGGACCTCAAGCAGGAGTTTTTCTCAAGTTAAGTCATAAGTTCTTAAAGTTAGATGAATAGAGCAGTGAGAAATCTTCAATTATAATCTGAAATCTATATTTTTTGGGGTTTTGGGGTTTTGGGGTTTTGGGGTTTTGGGG